ATTTGGGCCTTAATTGGGTCGAGTCGACGGCGAGCGGTTCACTCGGTCAGATAGTTGAATAAAGGTTTTGGGTGAACCCTCGTCTCCTATCCGATTCCTTCCTCGTCTTCTTCCTTCCCCTATGAGTTTACCGTTGCAACAATGTCTTCGCTTCTTAACCTCCTGAGATCATACCGACCCTTTTCTCCAATTCGTCTCTATTCTTTTCCCGCTTCTCGACGGCTCTTTTGCTTTGGAACCCAAATTCAGTTCAATCCCAGAAAGGGAACTTACGCCCGTCGCTGTTTCACGGCTCTTGCCACGTCTCAGGCGTCGAGAACCGCCGGAGCCGTTGGAATTTTCGCCGGAAGTGATTCGACTTCGGAGCTATGGCTTCACAACACGATGAGCAGAAAGAAAGAGCTGTTCAAGCCCAAGGTTGAGTCTAAAGTAGGATTGTACGTCTGCGGCGTCACGGCTTACGATCTCAGTCACATCGGCCATGCGCGCGTGTACGTCACGTTTGACGTCCTCTTCAGGTATCGGCTTCGGAAGTTTCACGTTCTTTATAAGCCTGGTTTTGAGTTATGAAAAAATTTTATTTTTTCCCCTTCTGTGTTTTGATTTGGGAATTAGGCAGGTACCTTAAGCATCTAGGATACGAAGTGTGTTATGTTCGAAATTTCACCGATGTTGATGACAAGGTGAGTTGAATTGATGTAAAGAACTGATTTTTACCATGGAATTGGAACCAGAACGATTCTTGGCTGTACCATGTCGTGGCTCCTCTAGCTTAAAGTTAACAATTTGAGTTCTTTGCCATTGTAGTCAATGCTAAAAACGTCTCATATTCCATTAGGAACAGCCTTATCCATTCAGGGAGAATCTCAGAAGCTTGTGTTTCTTGGTTTCTTCTTAGGAAAAGGTGCTAGATCAATAGAATAGGAATCAGATGTCTTCTTTGGTACTGTAAGAAGTTCCATCCTTGGAATGCCCATGAAAAGGATAACTTGCATTGCTCTGATCCAATGTCTCACCACCCGAGAAATAGTGCCCCTCGGTTGAGATGCTGAATGGTGAAGAAACTAGAGTCAATCCGTCTCTTTGCCTTCGCCTCATAAACTATTTTCGTGACTTTCTTGTGAGCGGTGCAAAAGTTTGAATCTTGGGCCCTGTTAGGTTCTCAAGATGTTGAATTAGAATATGTCAAGCTGGAGACTTTAAAACAAAATTCTTACTTTCTTGTTTTAGGAGAACTTATTCTAGATTTGTCCTTCTATTTGCTTTTATGTTTGTATGTTAACCTGTATGGTATGTTACAAGAGTTTATCTGTTTACTTCACCACTTACAGAATCTATGTGACTGATTTACTCGGTCCATGGATGACCGTAGGCCTCCTAACAACTAACTTAGAGATTCACATGACTTTGCTACTCGAATTCAGTGCCAGTTGCCCATTCCATTTCCTTCTTTTATTTTCACTTTGCTATGCTTGGAGCGCTGAGAATTGAAAGTTTAAATTCTAAAGATAATTGCCCGAGCAAATGAACTGGGGGAAGATCCGATCAGTTTGAGCAGACGATTCTGTGAGGAATTCAGCCGAGACATGATGCAGCTTCAATGTTTACCACCTTCTGTTGAACCCCGTGTCTCAGACCATATGCCACAAATCATTGACATGATCAAGCAGGTAGGCTATATATACATGGCTTAATTCTGCATTTCTTTCTATTTAAATCAACAATTTTCTTCTTAACATTGTGCTTATGGGGATAAACTCACTTGTATGATTCTTCTGTCAGATTCTTGATAATGGCTTTGCCTATAGAGTTGATGGGGATGTCTACTTCTCGGTTGAAAAATTCCCAGAGTACGGAAGATTATCTGGGCGAAAATTAGAAGATAATCGTGCAGGTGAGAGAGTTGCAGTTGACTCAAGGAAGAGAAATCCTGCTGATTTTGCTCTGTGGAAAGTAGGCATCAATGGATTAAGCCTTTGCATTACATTATACATTACCCTCATTTATCATTCTCATTAAAGTTTTAAATGTTGAAACTTTTGCAGACCGCCAAGGAAGGGGAACCCTTTTGGGAGAGCCCTTGGGGGCCTGGAAGGCCTGGATGGCACATAGAATGCAGTGCCATGAGTGCAGCTTATCTCGGTTACACTTTTGACATACATGGTGGAGGCATGGACCTTGTCTTTCCCCACCATGAAAATGAGATTGCTCAGAGTTGTGCTGCTTGCAGCAACAGCAACATCGGCTACTGGATTCATAATGGCTTTGTTACTGTCGATTCTGAGAAAATGTCAAAATCGTTAGGGAACTTCTTCACAATCAGAGAGGTGTCGAACAGTTCTATCCATTTTCTTTTAACCCGCATTTGTCTGATTGTATATCCAAAATTGAACTATTTCCTCCGAGTCTTCTTCTCTTTTGGTGCAGGTTATAGACCTTTATCACCCACTTGCTCTGAGACTCTTTTTAATGGGAACCCATTATCGCTCTCCTATCAACTACTCTGATTTCCTGCTCGAGAGTGCTTCTGAACGTGTTTTTTACATATATCAGGTATTCCCCGCCATTCTTTTCATGTCTACTCCTCTGAATCTTTACATGTGTTTAGACCGGACTCTTGGCAATCCAAACACCAGAAATCTTGTGACTATGATTATCGTTTTGATTCTTTCATGTGATGCGATACAATGACAGACGTTACAAGACTGCGAAAGCGTTCTGGAGAAGAGTGGTTCGCCTCTTGAAGATGATTCAGTCCCATCTGACATTTTGAATGGCATCAACAAGTTCCATAGTGATTTCGTTGCCTCAATGTCAGATGACCTTCACACACCCGTAACTCTGGCTGCACTCTCAGAACCCTTGAAAACAATCAACGATCTGATTCACACACGAAAGGTACAAGCTTTCCATCTGGGTCATCTCGTAAAATCTCTTTCCCCGTGATTTGAGCTTATGGGCATGTCATTTCTTTAAACGGTAGAAGTCGATGAGGCTTGCGTCAAGGTTGGCTTAGTTACCAACTCACTCTCCTCTTGGTTATGTAAACTGTTCCAAGACTAATTCTTGCAGGGGAAAAAGCAAGCGAGAAGGGCAGAATCACTCGGGGCTCTAGAGAAGACGATAAGGGAAGTGCTCACCATCTTAGGGCTAATGCCTGCAAGTTACAAAGAGGTAAGACAAGGCTGATCTTCTAAGTGTCTTAACCATTCTGTTTCTTATGCCTCAGAACTGTATGAAAGGTTTCCACTTCTGGCAGGTTCTGCAGGAACTACGAGAGAAGGCTCTGAAGCGAGCTGGAGTGACAGAGGAACAAGTCCTTGAGAGAATCCATGAAAGAACGGACGCGAGGAAGAAGAAAGATTACGTGAGATCTGACGTCATTAGAAAGGAACTGGCCGCTCTTGGGATCGCCCTGATGGACAGTCCCGACGGCACGGCTTGGAGACCGGCCATGCCCCTTGCGCTCCAAGAAAACTCAGACTCAGCTTGAAAGTTGCCTTGCTGATAACCACCATTATTTATTTTGGGTTTTGTATGTTTAATACTGGATGAGCTTTTCAATTATTAAAACTCCGAAGATGAGAAAATAAAAATATTATATTCATATCAATCGAGAAATGGGCCAATGCTTTGTGTAATAAAAATATAACATTATTTTTAAATTCAATTTCATATCTCCATTTTATCAGCAAAATATATTAATTAAGTATATATTATAGAAGTGTGTGACTTTCTGCTGTATTTATTTTTTTATATTTAAAATTTTAATTTAGTGTTAATGTCTTACGTATCTGTCTATGTAGATACACTAGAAGATTATAAACATTAGATTTTCAATGTAGTTTTATGTATACATTTATTTAATATTCATAACATTTCTCTTTTCAAAAGTCAATTACATTTGTTGCATTAAAGTAATTTAAATCTGCAATTTTTAAGTTTAAAAAAATTTGTATCCCTTACAAACATGTTTTTTTTCAGATCTCAGATCTCTTGTATTCATATGCTTGTAATTTGTGTTTTTATTATACAATATATATATATATATATACATATGTGTGTGTGTGTGTGTGTGTAACATGTCAGGTATAATTGGATATCATTTCAACTATGTATATGTATGCACGTTTGATATAGGCCAATGTACTTTCTTAATGATCGCTATACCAATGACCGCTGAAATATTATTATTTATAAAATTTATATTTTAAAAATAGATTTTACACACGAGTTTTAGCGTTTTAAGATACTAGAATATTATAAAAAAAATTGTATAAGATGAAAATTTATATATTATGTATTTTAGATATAAGAGATTTTTTTAGGATATCTTACTTAAAATCCAAATTTCGTTCCCAAAAAAATAAAAATCCAAATTTTGACGCAAGCGAAAACGAATTCCTTTTTTTATATTCAAATACACATGCAAAATATAAATTAAATTAAAAAATGCGAAACTTCTCACAAATGGACAAGAATGCATTGCCCATGTCTTCTCCTCTACTCTTCAAGGAAAATTTTGGAACAGAAAAGACAAGACAAGTGAGAGACATAGCAGAAGAAAAGCTTCTGATATACAACCATTGATGGAACACCACCATGAAATATTCACGACCAAAACAGACTATATTTTATATATATATATATATATGAAATGTTTCATAACACAATCTTTTATATATATATATATATATAAATTGACTCCTTGCCATAAGAAAATAAATTGAATTTTGTTGCAGAAAAATCTAAAGAATACAGATGGAGAGATCCGGATAAAACCATGATGAATAAAATTCCGAGATAGTAAGTGTAAGTTTTACTAAAGTTGATGAACAATAATAGCATAGATATTACAATTCACTAATTGACATCAAAACATTATCCTAAAATACTACATTATGAATCACCAGATCCATCAAATCTAAGATCTGGGCAAAGGGCACGTTCTTAGTGGTCAACACTCGAAGCAAAAGTTATTATATATATGAATGATTCTCTAATAAAATTAGACAGAAACAACAGTGTGATAGTTGTAATTGTAATAAGAAACATAAAGGAACAAGATTGCTTTTCTCTTACCTTATTATATAGTTTTGATTGGACACGTGAGCCAAATTTATTACCATGAAAAACTATACACAAATGGGGTTTTTTCTTCCCAGCAGATGAAGCTGATAATAGAAATAAGCAACCAAAACAAACACGCTTCAACTGGCATGTCATATATATAATCTCATCTACATGTGTGTGTGTGTGTGTGTGTATACGCGTGCATTTGTTCAAGTTCCTTCCAAAAGAGATGAAGAGATTTGTTGATATATACATGTAAAAACAAACTCATGAACGCATGAATGAACTACAATATAGCAACACATACATTGGTATATAAATTACTACACGTATATATATATGTATATGCGCATGTTCATACGTATAAGCACGTATATGCGTGTGTAGACATACGCTCTCCATTGGTGAATTCCATTAAGTAAAATCTAATTAACACGTAGGTATCCGTGCATCTATACATATATATATATGGTGGAATGGATCAGGGATTATCTGATACATGTGTAGATGATACCTTTGTATTGACATACAAATATGATCGATTACAGATACAAAATGTATTCACGGACCATTGTCGCGACATGATTTAAACAGTTATATTACCATAACACAAGCCCTGTACTAGGTTTGTCAAATAGCAAGAAACAAGCATTAATTACAACCATGAGATATACATGTGTGTGTGTGTATACGTGCACGAATACAAGCACAAAAATATATGCACAAGGGTTTTGGAGAGAAGGAGAAGCACTTGCAGTTCCATTTTCCAGATAATTTTGATGATTTAATATTAAATGCAACAAGTACTGCAATCACTGCCACTACAAGACCACTACCAGTTCAACTTCACTTTTGGACAGCGACCACTGTTTGCATCAAAAGAAGAAATCACCAAAACTCGCAACTATAGAATCAGAGCTCGACCACACCAGGAAGGAGAAGCAGAAGATGTAAGAAGAGAAATCGAGATATGGCGACAAGTTTTTTATTTGATAAAACGAATAAAAAGACCTACCTCGCTACAAAGGAAGGGCGCAACTCTAAGCAGGAAAACTAGAACGAGTTCAACGAGTTTGCTGTCTGCTGCACTAAAAACCCTAAACATGACCCTAAGAAAAATCTAGCAATACCACACAAATCAAGAAACATTCGTCGAATTCATACATCGCATACATGAAATGATTCGTTTTCCTCATCTGGGTTCTCAGCAAATTCGTCATCAAACTCCAAATTTTTAACCAGCAGTACTAGAACTTAGCTAGTAGTACCCGGAGGCGGCTGCTGAAACTGAAACTGCATATCGCCAACTCCTCCATCTCCGGCGGCGGAGGAAGACGGCGGGGGAGGATGAGGAGGGCGCTTCCGCTTCTTCTTCTCGTAGCTCACACCTCTCGCTTTGCTCTGCATATCTCTCACCTCACGGAGATAGAGCCTCACGGCTCGAGCTCCGAAGGGGTTGGCCTCAGGCTTGCCCCCGTGCTCCTCAAAGGCGGCTCGAAGGCGACCGATGAGGGCGTCGAGGCTTCCCCACGCTTGCCGGAGAGGGCAAGGGCACGGCCCCGGCGGGTTAGGGTGACCGTAGAAGTGGCACATCGGGGTGTGGACTTTGGTCTTTCCGAATTGGTCCAAGTAGCGCAGGAACTCGAGCACGTGAGCTCCGCTGCATCGGGACAGAGACAGCGGCGGTCGGTGGTTCCTCAAGTACTGTCCGAACGTGTTCCAGTCCCTCCTCTTCTGGTTCTCGTACCGGCTCGAGTTCGTCACCGCAGCTGAGGATGAGACCGGTTGCGGTGCTGCGGCGCCGGAGGCCGAGGCGGAGGCGGAGGAGAAGGAGGAGGAGGCTGAGATGATGTTGAGGTTTGTGGCCGATGCGTAGGAAGAGATGTCCATCGATTGGGGAATCATATCCATTCCTTGATCTTGATTCTTGTTTCTTGATCTTCGATCTAATTTGTGGCTCTTGGTTTTGGTACGGAGGAGCTGAATTATTTTCTCTGCGGTCGGATTGGAGGCAGAAATCAGGTTTCTTGAATAGATATCATGTGTGTATTAAAATATTTGATGAGAATATTGCAAATTAATATTATTTTTTTCATTTAATGAAAAAAGATATGTTTTTTATATCAAAGGTTTTTTTTAATGTCAGTGGGCGAGTTTTTTTTCCCTTCTTTTGCTTCATTGGGTGCGTTTCTCCTGTTCTTTTCCACCTGATTCCGTTTTATATTATAATCACCTTGGATTTTAGATTCAAGTGAAGAGGACTATAGTTTTCATGTTTGCACCGTCTAAATAAATCGTTACATATATATATGCACACACCATCAAGGTACAATTAAACTATATATTTCTGGCCCAACTTGTGAATAAGATATTATAAAATAAGATAAAACCCATATATATATATATATATATATATATATATCACACATGTATATAAGTACTATACACCTGCGAGGTAGAAGACTTGTTTTTACATTCGTTCATTTTCTTATAGTAATATAGAATTTCATATGTGTGCATATTTTATTAAATTTCGCATAATTAACCTAAAAGAGAGGGACATAGTCTATAGCTACTAATTTCGTATTTACATATAATATAATTATGGAGGTCTTCATTATTGACAGAGAGTCGTAGGGTTTCGTGTTGTAGATTTTCACGGTGTAATAATAATAATAATAATTTTTTTGTCGCGAGAAAATGACAGAAAAAGGGTTAGGCAATTTAGGTGTGGACGACGATGACAGCCGAATTATTATATTATTTTTCTTAGGGGAATGAATAAATATTATTTTATTTATTTTTGGCTCTTTTGTACTGTAGAATCGATTGACAGTTCTTTGTATTTTACCAAAATAACCCTCTGTTCTTCTCCCCTGGACACACAGGCATGCATGCAACAGAGGTTTTTCTTCCGACCAATGTACAAAATATAGCTAATTTAAAAATGAATTATTATTATTATTATTATTTTAAATATTTTCTGTGTAAAGAGTAAAAAAAAAAAGCCCCCACTGATGTTGTCGCTTGAAAAGAACATCTCCATTTTTAGCAAAACTTGCATGTTTAAATCCTTAAAAGCCGACAGAAATATGTCAATGAACTGAATCAGGAATCGTATATTTGGAATATATTTATAAAAATAATGTTACAAATTTGTTTGAAAAAAAATAATAACACCACAACTTTTCTTTGTCCGATTAGAGAATTATTATCTTAACAGACAAAACCGTATGTTGTAGAAAATGTTTTCAGGAACTATTTTTTAAGATATAAAAATAATTCGAAATAATTATTATAATATTATAGATTTTTAAATATTATCTGATACCGTGATAAATGCTTTTAGAAATTGGCTGAGCATGTGAAAAAATTGTAAGCTGGTGCTTTTAGGTTAGGGTTTGGTCTTTCTACCACATGGTTTTTTTTTTCCATCATGTAAAAAAATTGTTACATCAACCATCAAATAAAAAAAAAATCCAAGAACTAATATGTTGCTGCAGATACATAACTTTCATGTGTTGAATATAATTAATGAAAAACAGCTAATATATTGAATTTTTTTTTAGCGTATGCATGTGTATCTATTATCTATAATCACGTGTACGTAAATACAGTCATGTGTACGAATTAGTAGTGTCTCTCTTTTTCTCCTCCGAGATTTTCCATTACTTTCCTCTCTGTTTTCTTTTATTTTCTCTCAACCCAAACAATATTTTCTTCAATCAAATGAAAAATCTAATAAGCATGCAGATATTATTCATATACAATATGGTGTATATTTTAAAAATTTTGTTAGTTAACTTTTTTGTAAGTCAAAACATATCAAATCATAGAAAAAAAAATAGAAGTTAAATCATTTCGCGTGGTTTCAAGTTCCTCTTGAGGTTTCAGGTTTCCCTAAATTGACCAACTTAGATTGGTTTATCTATTTCGCGTGGTTTATCAGTTATTATATATAGAACCGAGAGATTTATTGTCCGAAATACTGTCCAATATACGGGAACGACCGAGGTCCGACCTGAAAGTTTATGTGATGGGTTATCCACCGTTAAAAAAAAAACATCTTCTGCAAAGACAAAAGATAATAGTAATTTTACATTCACATAAAAAAAAGGAAGAATGAAAATCATAGGGATAATACAGCATTACTATACATACACACATATATATACACTCTAAATGTAGGAAGATGCTTATCATAAAAAATGGAGGAAAATGGGATTGGACCCACCGTCAGTCAATGTCATACTAAATGAGGACAACAACTCCAGTTTCATTGTGTTTAACACTTGTGTGTGTGTTTTTTTTATATCCGCGTTAATTTATTTATTTTAATTATTAATTAAAGCTTCAAGACAACCACGGACCCGTTCGTTTTAACGCAACTTGAATTATTATCATTTTTATCTAGTTAACAGTTAATTAAGTAGTAATTAAGAAGGGCGTATTGGTAATTAGCATGGTGGCCCAATATTCTTAAAGAACTCTTTCATCCATTTTCCACTAAAACCAAATCTGATAATTGATACCCTTATACTCCTCCTTTCCATTATTATCATTATACTTCCCGTTAATTTAATTAATTAATCCGCCAATCAGGGTGTTTTATAATCATTTTTTAATTAATTAATCCGTTAATCAGGTTGGTCGTAACATATCCTTCAAAAGATTTTCAAAGACAACATATCTGGAAAAAGATTTTTTTAACCTTTACTTTCAGTGGGAAAAGGACAATTAAATAACTGTCCTTTTCAGTTTTTTTTTTAAAATTAAATAAACCTCATTAGGGTGGAGCAAACATTTATATATTTTAATGAAAAAAATATAAATAAAAATATTCCGTTGCCGGGAATCGAACCCGGGTCTCCTGGGTGAAAGCCAGATATCCTAACCGCTGGACGACAACGGATTTGATATCACAATTGTTCATATGTTTTAATTTATCAAAATTAAAGCGAAACACTAAAAAACATGTTCTTTATTATAGATCGAGATGACGGAACAGAAATTCATTATCCTCAAAAACAAAAAACACAGTTTGCTCACTTGCAAGTCTCAAAACTGAAGCAATGTCACTCAAGTCTTTTCTATTGTTCGGTCACTGCCCATCCGTGTGTGATAAATTACTACCACTGCTCAGTAACTCCACCAACTCAGCTTTCTTCATCTTTGAAAACCCTTTTACGCCACGTGATTTCGCTATGGCCCTCAGTTCCGTCAGCTTCAATGCACTAAAGTCTGAATCTTGCTTCATTTCTATCCCCGGTTCCTCGCCTTCATCAGCGTCTACTATGGCATCATCTGATATCTGTTCCAAAACAACTGCATCATCCTCGTCTTGATAGAAAGACTCGGGCTTCAGATCTGGCTCTTGTTCAAGCACAGCGGGCTCGGTCCCAGGTTCAGGCTCTTCATCTTCAGGTTCAGCTTCATGGTCATCATCTTCAGGTCCATCGTGCAGCTCCGCTCGATCCTTCTTCTGGGTCCAAGACTCACTAGAGTATGTGGGCTGGGATTTGTATCTGGGTACAGGTGACTTGCGTCTGAAGCTTGATGCCGGCCGGGTAAAGGATGTTGCTTTACGACTTTTGTCCCGAGAATTGATCGAATTTGAGCTTTGATCTTGGTTGTGTGCAACATCTCTATCTGCTTGGCCCGAATTGACTTCCTTTTTCTTACTCTGCTCACCTGAGTGTTTCCTCAGTAACTTGAGAAGGGAATCGACTGTCTCACTCTCTTTCCCCTGTCCCCTAGAAGCTTCTTCAACTTTCTTGCCTTCTTTCTTAGCAGCGGCTCGTGCCCGGAGTTGTGCTTGCACCTTCCTGAAAAGTTCGACTATCTCTCTCTCTCTTGGCCCGGGGGATGAAGTAGCTTGGAATTTCGGGGAATTAGAGAGAGAGACAACAGGGCCGTTTTTTGAAGAGAACATTTCTGAATCCTCAAAACCATCAAAGCCGTATCTCTCTTCGTTTTGCTTGTTTCTGCCTCGGAAACCATGCTTGTTTTGTCTTGAGAAATCCGGATTTCTCCTATGGCCACCGGAACTTGCCCGGCAAACAAAAGACCATTTGGCAGCGACACATTTCACGCGTCCATTATTCACGCGTGACTTATGGTCCAGGCAGGAAGAGCAAGGTAGCACAGCAAGTGTCCTTGACGCAGCGGAGTTAGAGACTGTCCTGTTGTCTGAAAGTCCGTAACCTGCGTGACAAAGCAATAGACATAAGAAGCGGATTGATACAAGAAAGACATATACATGTATACGGAGGAGGGCACAGCCAAGAACAGAACCTATGTGTAGCTGATTGTTTTCTTTCATGGTTCACCTTGCTTTATACACAACAGACCTTTCATTCTAAACGACAAAATGCAGTTAAAAACGTGCCAAGGCACATAACCAAAACCTAAGAAATACTTCTGGTATATACTTATTTTCAAACTCAAGATGAACCCATTACAGTTTACAGGATGCGCATTTTCTGTTTTAGCCATGAAGATGGGACAAAATAACAAAAATAACTACCGGCATAGCGGTTATCATCCAGCATAAAAAACTTAAGTAGACAAACGGTATTGACACCAGAGACCATTCTATTTATAACAACTATTGTTTCTAAGGATTAACGAAACCAAGTAAACCCTATTTCACTTAATGACTTAAATGGTTTAGCAATTACATCAAACACCACTAGAGTAACCCAGATTTTCCAGATTCATATATGCAGAAAACAAAGTCAAACTTGGTAATTTCTAGCCCATAGTGTTCGGGATATGCACATGAACTTTTCAGGCATTCTTGATAAAGTATGTTTTCCTCAGTATTTCTCTCTTACTATTGCAGAAATGGGTTCTTCTAAAACAAGGGTCGAGCATTCGAATACACAAGGAGGTTAGCACCAGAAACCGACTTGTCATCGAGAGAAGCTAGCACAAGAAGGCAGTAACACGTAACGCAAGAAATCTCAATGGGTAAATCCGAATTCACACAGGCGCAAAGGCACAACCGACATCTACCAAACCCTCAGAATCATTTCGTCGAACAAGTGGTGGACGACTCAAGCGTAGCCGTAATATCCACAGAGAGATAACAGGAGAAGCAGATAAATTTAAGACAGCGAACCAAACTACATCAAAACGAGCTTAATACAGGCTAATAGGATTATCATCCAAAAAAGAAGATTTCCCCCCACACCGACATTTATCTACGCAATGTTTCTCCTTTCAGTGACGGAGACCCAAATCCCAAATCCCAGAACATTAGGGTTTCAGAAGCTACCATGGAAGATTAATGACAGTAAAAATCTCAAATAAACCAATCCGTGTTCAAAATTCGACCACGGAAGAAGGACACATTCTCGGCAGCCAAACAGAAAAACCAGAGATGTATGAGAGAGAGGGAAAAAGAAGACGAGCAAGGATACTACAAAAACAAGAAAAAGAGAAAACGAATTGTACCCGGAGCATAGTCATAGCTAAAATGCAAAGTTCCTGACATCGCCATGGAAAACTTCAAGACAAGGAATTAAGCTTCTTCCTTCCCTCTCCTTCTTTATGTCTCCCGAGGAGATAGAAGTCTCATTGTCTCGCGAATAAAAGCCCATTATATTGAGATCTTGGGCTTTTCTTAATTATGGGTCCTTAAAATATGGGCTTTCTTTGTTGGGCCTAACTAACAAAAGGCCCATTTTTCAATAACTACAAAAGTACGTAGATTTTGAACCAATTAGATGAAAGGTTTTGCAACCAATCACCAATCGTTTCTCAATAAACTATGCAATCCCTCTATCAATCGTTTGGACCGTGATATATCGCATGGAGAAAATCCATTACTAAAACTAACGTAATTACAACAATCATTTCAATACGACCCTATAGCTAGCTATGATTATCTTCCGTGTTCGCTTTCATTTTAGGTAATTCAAAATAGTGGCAAGAACATATATATATATATATATATCCATAAAAAATATCCAACATGTAATAATTATGAGTTCTTTCTATTAAATGGATCCAACTTTAAGCAGGGAGCTTCCCAACTGAAGTCTGGACAAATTATGAGTTGGTGCCATAAATAACACGAATTCAACAGGTTTCTTTCTGGGGAAGATGAAGATTTGAATTTTGTCCTAAATACAGACACCAAACTAGACGACGACCATTAATTAATTTCTTATTAAATTCGGAAACATTTAATGTTGTTGTTTTTTTTATATAAAAATAAATAGATTTTTCGAACTATTGTCTAAGCAACGAAATCAGGTAATATAATAAACCCAAAGCCCAAGAGAACACATCTCTACACAGTACCATGATCATGATCTCTGTGTGAAAATCTGAATAATGTATATGTAAAACTTACGTGTGTATATATATATTCTTAATAATTAAGAAGTAAAATCATCCGAAGATCTATACGCTAAAACTCTTCGCGTACGTACACTCTCATTCCTCCTGAGCTGGATTTATAGAACCTCTTGGTGTCTTCTCTTCATCAGATTCATCGAGTTCCTCAAATCTTGAACCAATCTTGAAAAACAAAAAGTCCATCAGATTCATTTGAGGAAAGGGTAATGGATGATTCTCCGTGAAATATAAGCAAAGATTCGTAGATTTAGGCTAATAAAGTACCTGTTGTCTATGGATCAACGATGCAAGTGAGAAGGAGATGAAGAGGAGGGTGAAGGACGCTGGGGTCCGAGCCCTTCGCTTTCTCCTCCATGGATCCTAGTGGGAATACTAAGGCCTTGCATGATTCCATGTGAACCAAACTGAGAAGCAAATGCCGAAGATTGGGGATGATGATGATGATCCCAAGAATGAAACGGATGTGACGAAAAGCTGGACTGAAGGGTACCCCTTTGATGAGACAACAATGGCGGTCCTTGACCGAGGAAGAGGGTCTGTTGGTGGTTAAGCAGTGTCGGAACCGAGGGTTGATGCGATGATGAACTCACCAAGAAACCCCTTTGCTCGGGAGTGGGGATTAAGCATGGTCGCAACCGAGGCTTGGTGATGAGACGGATTCACCAAGAAACCCCTTTGGTCGGATGTCGATTCGCTGTTCCATCCAGACATCCGTTGGAAATTGTTGGGTTCGAATGTGGCGAAAAGGGCTTGATCCGCTGCTGATGAACCGGCTTGGTCTGAGTTACCAAGAAAGCTAGGATGAAGTGATAACCCTAAATCTTGGTTTAGGTTCGTGGTTCTTGAGATTATATCATGAGGGTAGCTGTGGAAATTGATGTTGGAGTCGGTCCTACTCGTGGGGAAGACCGTTTTCATGGCGTCCTCGGGATCAAGATTCGCCATTGGAGCAACCAAAGAAGATGAGAACTGAGCGGTTTGCTGATTGTCGTCATCTTTAGCATCAACTATTTGGTAATTAGGGTCAGAGGGCAAGTCTTGCGACTCGTTAAGCTTGTCAATGGCGGATTTGGCTTTCTTGATGAGCCAATCCACGGCTTTGCTAGGGCGGTCATAGCCTAACCGGTCTTGAACATCGTAAAACTGAATGGCCGTATGAGCCGAGAGCCGGACGCGCCGGTCGCGTGGCCCCTTGGCGGTGTAGACCTTGCTGTGACGGTCCTTTCGTCCGGTAGCACGTACGATGTGACCGCCTTGCACCTGCACAATCTCCCCTCCTCCCGGACCGGAACTCTTCAAACCCATTTTGCCTCTCAAAACGCCATCGTTGATGCTGTGGAAGCCCTTGTTATTGCTGTTATTATGGCCTTGTAGATCCAGATTCTTGAGAAACGTGTGCCGTTTTGATTGCAGACCTCTCTCCAAAGTGCTTGCCGTTTTTCTGCTTTGTGAAGAATCCTCTTGCTCTCTCGTCTGTGTGTTTTAGTGCTTTGACATCTTCAACTAGACAAACCTACCTGAAAGCTGGTACAAATTCGCAGCTCTTAATGATACAGATCCCCAAAAGATCTGCCATGCCAGTGACCAGATTCCACGATCGACCCCATAAACACCATCAAATCCTTGAAATGAAAAAGAAAATGCCAACATAAATACGAGGAGAAAGAGAATCAAAAGAACCTTGATTATACGTGGGTTCTGATTTTATGAGATTTGCTTTTCTTTTCTTTTTTTTCTTCCCAAGATTCAAAGAGAAATGGAGAAAACCATATATATAGATGATATAATGCTGTATAAGCAAATAAACGGGGAGAAAAGTGACAACCTTTTGCTCTACATGTATTTATGGTTTTGGGGTATTATCAAAGACCGAGGGAGAAGAAGAGAAGAAATTATGAAGAGAGAGAGAGAGAGAGAGAGAGAGAGAGAGAGAGAGAGAGAGAGAGAGAGATTTTGGAGGGTGTTGCTAAAAGGATAGCAGAAGTTTTGGTCAGATTGGGAAGTAAATACTCAATCAATACCCCTTTTGCTACAAACCCTCTCTACTCCTAATTATTATAATATATGTATCTTTGTATCCTTCTCCCCACATATTATTGAAAATGGACTCCACATCAAAAAATTATTGTTGTAATTGTATACTTTACTTGCATATATAATCCATCTCAGGTATGCATTTGGATTAAATTAATCTATCATTTTTTTGTGTGGCCAATATATATACATACATATATACACGCCCCATACATGTGGATAACCATGATTAAGGGTTAATGTTCAATGAGGAGAGAAGGCTATGGTTAAGGTCATTGTCTCTTAGAAAACTTCTTCCTTGTAATTACTACTCTGCCACTATCCACTTTTCTCTTTAAGGCTTTGACAATGATACACAACAACAGCTTTTTCCCTCTTCTTCTTCTTCTTCCTTTTTTTTTTTCTTCTCTTTATCTTTGTATAGTTTTCCTCGGTCCACTTATATCGAATGGACAAAAAATACTTTCTCCTCGACCATACGTTGATATATAGGGGGTCCAATTTGAATATTGAATATTGGATTTGACCAAATGCATATGAATTCTTCATCACAGAAAACGTATATTGAATCCCCCCCCCCGGGTTATGTGTAAAATGACCTATTGAAAATTTAAATTCTCAACCCTAAAGATATGATGTTTATCAAATTAGTACAAAAGAAAAATATAAAGCCTATATATATATGTCCTCACGGGATCTTCCTATTCGATCTCTTTGTCTAATATCGAAACCCTAAATCTCGAACACTAGATTTTAATATGAGATTACAAAGATTAAAAAAAAACGCGTTAGATTTTAATATGGTTAAGTTTATAAAACCCCTTTAGGGTTGAGTCCTTGTATTAAAAATATTGTTTCTACATAGAAGTAAAAGGTATATATCACTTCTTTGATCTCGATTTTGCTGCATGCATGCATGCATGTATGTATGTATGTATGTATGTATGTATGTATGTATGTATGTATGTATGTATGTATGTATGTATGTATGTATGTATGTATGTATGTATGTATGAAGAAAAACAAGAGAATGAAAAGTACGAAATGCTGTCAACTTGAAGACTCCCGAAAGTATGAAAAAATGTCAGAGGTTAGATAAAATGTCTTTACGAAAAGCATATGCGCATGCAGTGCTTCGGACAAAAAGATTCCATATGATAGCTTAGAAATCGTGGAAGTGAAAAAGGAATCCTAAACCCTCTCTCTATATAATAATCTTATCGATCGCTTTTGCAAATTTAAATATGATTTTTTCGACCGATCGATATACTGATTAAATTTAACTATTCTCTGGGTTAATGAATTTTAAATCATCTCTATGAATATAATAATATATAAAGCAATATTCATATTGCCCTACTTTCTTTTACACATATATGGTTTCTTATCTTTGCGTGTCTAAAACTATATTTAGGATTCCATCATTGTCTTCGCGTTGATAGTTTTCACTATATATAACAGACTACAAAATATTAATTAAATAGCAATTAATAAAATAACTAATCCGTAGAATTTTAATGTAATAAATATATACAAGAGCAGTGTGTATATATATATATATATTAGTATATAAAAATATAATCTAATAATAAGAAATCCTAAACTAATACATATACAATTTTAGATGTTCAGATTATTAAATTTAATTAAATGAAATATTTCTATATTTTATAAAAGCTATTTTTTTGGTAAACAACAAAAGCTAAATTTAGTAGGGGAAATTGCTTTTTTTTTCTGAGGAACCTAGCTAAGTGAATAATTGATATTAGGTCTTTTTATATAATATTTTATCCAAACTTTTTCGTATACGAAGTAAATGTTCAGTCACGTGGGCTTTTTCTGACGGGAATAGAGCATAGCTGCCGCCGCTGCTGCGTATGGAGTTTGGATTCATCATGTTTTTCCTTTTCGCTTTTAAATTATTTTTTGGGTTATTTATTTGAATATATCATGCATCAAATACAATGTTTTAATGAAATTATCAAAACTTCAGATGAATGAATCTAACGAAATTAAATTTTTGCGGGTGATCGGTCCATGTATATATGCATGATCCGGTGGTCACTTTGAGCTATGGTGTCTTCATGCGCCTTGAATGAATTCTATTCCACCTTCCATATATATATAAGAGGACGAACGGTTTGTATAGTACCTTGATTTTAAAATATATAATATGGTTTTTCAATATATAAAATATTTGTTAACTTACTGAAGCCCTTATTTAGAAATTCAATTTTATCATTTCTATCCGATTTTAGTCATACCTAATCTACCTACCATCATCATCAAATGTGTCATATAGAAACATATTTAGTCATAACACATGATTTTTTTTTTATTATTTTGTTGTGAAATGCATAATCTTATAAATAGAACTCCGAAACATAAATAAGTAAACATGTAGATTACGAAAAAAAATGCAAATCAATGGATTAATGCCCACTTCTCTAACAAATGAGACAGCACTTTTGTTCTTAACCTCAAGAGTTAGAAACTGTAATTGTGTGTCAGGAGACAGAGATGGTCATTAGAATTATAATGTGAATTTGGTGCAATATTCAATAATATGCTTTTAGGGTTCTAAACAAAATTTAAATGTAAAAACTGTATATATATATATATATGTGTGGGGTTAAAGTTATATATATATATACTGTCTATGTAACCGAATGGGACAGTGGCAGAGAGGTTGGCCCCTCGTCCATCTTGCGTTTCTTATTTCATTATTTTTTAGCAAAATCATTGAAGTAGGAGTTCTGAATCGTGCGATATGAATGAATTTGGTTTGGTTATTTTGATACAAGTAGTGCATATGATAATTTTTTATAAATTAATAACATAATACAAAATTGGATTTGTAAATATTTTTATGGCGCAGTTGAATTTTGAACCGAAGAAATATAATCTAAATAGCTGAAATAAAATAGAATTGCGCAACTGATAGAACATGAAAAAAAATAAAATTCATATCATTACGTTAGGCAAGATACAGGAGAGAGAGAGAGAGAGAGAGAGAGAGAGAGGTGAAAGCCACCAATCAGAGATCTCGTGATCCAAGATGATGATTTTACTGTCATTTTCTTTGTCTCTATTCGCTTTTGCTTTTCATTTTTACAGGAAATGGAATACCTACCCATATTTATGTGTAAAGGTATGTGTTAAACCCCTCTTCTCCATCTCAATTATTTTATTGGTCCTAATCAGAATTTTTATATACTAAGGAATATCCACGTCACATAGTAATTTATTATTATATAATAGGCCCATTTGTCATGAATGACAAATCACCATAGGATAGGCCCAAATTGTACACGGCCCATTTGTATCAGCCTGCATATTGGGTTGGGCTTTACATCTCTTATCTCTCGATGGGCATGTTCTTTGCAAATAGATTTCACTTGAATCACACACACATATTTAATTAATTATATATCCTGTCATAAGTAAATTCATTTTTTTCTTATGGATATATATATATCATAAGGAAAAAAATTGAATTTATTTATGACAGGAATGACGAATAAATGGTCCACAAACTTGGAATAATACTGACTGGAGTTGTGGATATGCATCAAAATCCAAAATCCTCCTCGGATTTACACAACTTTAATAATGTTGTTTCGTTGACTCAATTTCTTATCCTTTGTCTCAGACAGACCAAAGTGCTTATATTACTTTTGATTGTTGGTCAGTAATAATAATTTGTCCCAACGAAAACCATATATAACGGGCATAATTTAATTGTAGGGGCCAAACTTTATAGCATAAAAAAGAGCACTCAAGATATCGACACGATATGGGGTTATTGGTCTCACGTGCATGTTGAATATGGACGATCCAATTTAAAATATAAATAAAACAAATTTCCCTACCACTAATTAAGACGTTATGATTATGCGTTAACCTTTGGTCTTTAGTGTACAATATCATCCGTTTAATATTTGCATCGAATTGAAATATTTCAGTGGAACTAAATGGAATTGCGTGAGATGGGCCTGCATCAAGAGACAGGATAAAAGAAGAAGAAGAAGAAGAACACGTGGCCACTAGGGTTTGCTGATGTAGCTTTCTTCCTCCGGCTTACGTGGAGCCAGCATCCACAAAGCCCAACTTCCCAACTATGATTTATTATTATTAATTATTAATTATTAATTACTATTATTCAAAACCTAGAGAAGAAAGGAAAGATGGAGAGATTTGATGCAACGTACCCTCTTAATCGATCATACACTAACGCTGATACCGTATTTTTATTTTCAAAACCTTTGTTTTTCGTGTGGAAAGTATTCATATTCTTTTCATCAATTAAAGGATAAATCATTCAACCCTAGTACTTATAGGTAGAGATAAGATTTCTCCCATGTCGCATTCAAATAACTATATAATATATATGTATGTATGTAATTTCAGAACCAATCGATCAATGTGTTTGCCAATTACGTCCCATCCTCGATTGTTTTTACGTAATCGCATGTTATCCAGAAAACATGCGTCATTTCTGTTGAAAATGATGTAATAATCTAAAACCATGTATTTTTTTTTTGTTGGATATGGATGACAAAAAAAGTTTTTTTTTTAAATTCTAGCCGTAGTGAAGAATCTGGAAATATAGTGTGAACAAAATAACAAATATAATAGTCTGGAAATATATTAGTTATTGATCCAAATATAATTATTACTAGTTAAATATCAATCATTCTGAAAAATAATATTGAACTACCATTTTAATTTAAACCAAATATAACTGGAAATTTTATAAAACAATATATATATATATATATAACTGGAAAGCAATCCACGGTCGCAATACGTGTCTAGATTATTTAATTGTGGGTCCATTAGGAGAAACAAAATACAATGTACTCAATACATACATGCATACATACATACATACATACATGCATACATACATACATACATACATACATACATACATACATACATGCATACATACATACATACATACATACATACATACATACATACATACATACATACATACATACATACATACATACATACATACATACATACATACATACATACATACATACATACATACATACATACATACATACATACATACATACATACATACATACATACATACATACATACATACATACATACATACATACACACATATAATTTGTGATGCTTTTAATTTGTGCGTATAATACCTTGACTAACTTAGCCGATGGAGCGTGCATGCAAATTAGACGTCAACTTATAGTATACTTCGTTATAGAATATACGTACATATACACCTAATTAAAAACAATGATGATATATATATACATATACGGTCCATTATCAAATTACTGTATTCTAGTATAAGTAGGGGAGATTCGGTCGGGTGATACTTTCGTTGGTTAAACGCTTGCGAATTAGGATAAGCATGAGATCATAAAATGCGACTGACCTCTCGTGTAAACCCTATATATATATATATTAGGGTATAATACATAGTAAATTAACTTCTTTTTTCTGTTCTTTTGTGGAATGCATGGAAAAGCTTTTATAACTAAAGAAGAGATAACTGTACGAACCATGAAAAGAAAAAGAAAACAGAGGACAGCCATAGAAGCTATACTCACTTTCTTTTATCAACGTATATACCGATATATATCTGTGTGCCTGTGTGAGTGTGTAAGAGAGAGAGAGAGAGAGAGAGAGAGAGAGAGAGAGAGAGAGAGATCCACTAGTTGTGTTTGGTGCAACCGTGTAGACATGCATGAATACTATAATCCCAAAATCTGAATCGGATTTGGCTTTTTGAGGATCCCATCATGTTCTATCCACTGACCCAAATCCTAATCTCCGTTATGTTTCGATATATAAATAGCAAATTAAGCTGAGCACTCTCTCCATGCATGTTGTTCTTCACTCTACGTGCATAACCCCTTTGAACTCTTTGTTCCCTCATTACCTCTTCAATCATCCCAATATTTATAATTATGGAAAATACCATCCCTAAACAAGCCTTAATGATGCTCTTAATCGTGTTTTCAGCCCACGTTTCGGCATCTCAGGCTCGAGTGCTTCGTGGAGATCACGTGAGAATCACGAGTGGAATCGATAGTCGGGTTCTTCTGCGTGAACTAGGGTTTGATCTCTCTAAGCTCAGAGGTCATGAAGGAAGAGTGCTGGTAGATTCCGACAGGGTTTCTCCCGGAGGACCCGACCCTCAGCACCATTGATGGGACTCTTATCCACTCTGTCTTTTTTTTTTTACTAATTAATCTTGTCTCGTTTCTATTGTTCAACTCACTATACATATAAGCATTATATATATATATAGGTCAATGCAATTTTGTTGACCAAGCATCAAACCTTTGATTTTCTTGTATGTCCAGTGGTTTAATTATATTTAAATTCGAAATGTATTTCCAATATCGCATCAATACCTACAATTTTGAAGTTAACGAGACACACACTTAATATTGAGCTGAGATGGCCAATTCCTAAATCTTGGGATAATTTGATGTCTATATATAGATATTGAACCCTCTGTGCAGTCTTATTTTTGTGGCAGGAAATTTACTGTAGATAGATACACAAGCCAAGGAATGCAGTGTATGTATGTATGTATGTATGTATGTATGTATGTATGTATGTATGTATGTATGTATGTATGTATGTATGTATGTATGTATGTATGTATGTATGTATGTATGTATGTATGTATGTCATACATACATACATACATACATACATACATACATACATACATACATACATACATACATACATACATACATACATACATACATACATACATACATACATACATACATACATACATACATACATACATACATACATACATACATACATACATACATACATACATACATACATACATACATACATACATACATACATACATACATACATACATACATACATACATACATACATACATACATACATACATACATACATACATACATACATACATACATACATACATACATGCATACATACATACATACATACATGCATACATACATACATACATACATACATACATACATACATACATGCATACATACATACATACATACATACATACATACATACATACATACATATAATTTGTGATGCTTTTAATTTGTGCGTATAATACCTTGACTAACTTAGCCGATGGAGCGTGCATGCAAATTAGACGTCAACTTATAGTATACTTCGTTATAGAATATACGTACATATACACCTAATTAAAAACAATGATGATATATATATACATATACGGTCCATTATCAAATTACTGTATTCTAGTATAAGTAGGGGAGATTCGGTCGGGTGATACTTTCGTTGGTTAAACGCTTGCGAATTAGGATAAGCATGAGATCATAAAATGCGACTGACCTCTCGTGTAAACCCTATATATATATATATTAGGGTATAATACATAGTAAATTAACTTCTTTTTTCTGTTCTTTTGTGGAATGCATGGAAAAGCTTTTATAACTAAAGAAGAGATAACTGTACGAACCATGAAAAGAAAAAGAAAACAGAGGACAGCCATAGAAGCTATACTCACTTTCTTTTATCAACGTATATACCGATATATATCTGTGTGCCTGTGTGAGTGTGTAAGAGAGAGAGAGAGAGAGAGAGAGAGAGAGAGAGAGAGAGAGAGATCCACTAGTTGTGTTTGGTGCAACCGTGTAGACATGCATGAATACTATAATCCCAAAATCTGAATCGGATTTGGCTTTTTGAGGATCCCATCATGTTCTATCCACTGACCCAAATCCTAATCTCCGTTATGTTTCGATATATAAATAGCAAATTAAGCTGAGCACTCTCTCCATGCATGTTGTTCTTCACTCTACGTGCATAACCCCTTTGAACTCTTTGTTCCCTCATTACCTCTTCAATCATCCCAATATTTATAATTATGGAAAATACCATCCCTAAACAAGCCTTAATGATGCTCTTAATCGTGTTTTCAGCCCACGTTTCGGCATCTCAGGCTCGAGTGCTTCGTGGAGATCACGTGAGAATCACGAGTGGAATCGATAGTCGGGTTCTTCTGCGTGAACTAGGGTTTGATCTCTCTAAGCTCAGAGGTCATGAAGGAAGAGTGCTGGTAGATTCCGACAGGGTTTCTCCCGGAGGACCCGACCCTCAGCACCATTGATGGGACTCTTATCCACTCTGTCTTTTTTTTTTTACTAATTAATCTTGTCTCGTTTCTATTGTTCAACTCACTATACATATAAGCATTATATATATATATAGGTCAATGCAATTTTGTTGACCAAGCATCAAACCTTTGATTTTCTTGTATGTCCAGTGGTTTAATTATATTTAAATTCGAAATGTATTTCCAATATCGCATCAATACCTACAATTTTGAAGTTAACGAGACACACACTTAATATTGAGCTGAGATGGCCAATTCCTAAATCTTGGGATAATTTGATGTCTATATATAGATATTGAACCCTCTGTGCAGTCTTATTTTTGTGGCAGGAAATTTACTGTAGATAGATACACAAGCCAAGGAATGCAGTGTATGTATGTATGTATGTATGTATGTATGTATGTATGTATGTATGTATGTATGTATGTATGTATGTATGTATGTATGTATGTATGTATGTATGTATGTATGTATGTATGTATGTATGTATGTATGTATGTATGTATGTATGTATGTTTATTATATTTAAATATTTGTAGTAAAAAGGAAATAAAACTGGATAAAGTTATAAAAAGATCTTTATTATAGGATATAATTTGATACGAAAAAGAGAAGGATTATATATTTTCGAATTATCTGAAAAGAATATTCAATAATGTTATATGTATTTTTCCGGTTAAAAATAAAATTTTATGAAAGCTGGTCAATTATAGATGTGAGAAAATTTAGGAAAATATACTAAGGGATTTAGAAAAATTGCAGTGTTTTGGATGAGTTTGACTAAAATAAAATATACAATAAATACCGAAGCCGCCTGACCTAACACCGCGTCTTCCATTTCGGGTCTACTCATTTGCAGTGAAGAAGACGACGGCGAAAACCACCACCGGAGCCGCCATGTGTGACGGAGATTGCCGCCCTCTCGGCTTCCTCTTGGGCCTTCCCTTTGCCTTCCTCTCTCTCCTTCTCTCCATCGTCGGCGTCGTCGTCTGGATCGTCGGGTCTGTCTCCTCTCCGTTTTCCTCTCTTTCAACCTCTTAATTTCCTCTGATTTATCGGAGTTTTTCGATCTACAGTTGTTTAGCTCTAGAATTTTGCCTGTCTCATCGTTTCTGGCATGATCAATTTCATGTTTGTTCTGATCATTTAAAAAACTACCGTTTCTCGTTGAAGATATGGAATCTGGTTAGCTCTAGAATTTTGCTGTAGATGTGATATTTTATCTGCAAATTTGTGACGTTCATCCTCTTTCGAATCTCGTATTCTTTGTGACCCAACGAATTTGAAGTACATAAATCTGAGTTTAGTCTGCTTGAATTTTGAATTTGAAGAGCATACATTGATTCTTGATCGGCTCTGGAAGATCCAGTCGTTTGTTCTTATTCTTAGAAAATTCAAAATTCACGGGTTCTTCTGAAGTTCAAATTTTTTTGTTTCTTCGTCCATTTTTCTTGCTATATGAACTATGAAGTGGTTTTGAAGATGGGATCAACTTATTTGAATCTTGTGATTCTGCAGATTGTTGTTGTCATGCATATGCCCTTGTTGCTTGTGCGTGACTGTGATAGTGGAACTCGCTCTAGAACTGATCAAGGCACCGATTCATGTTATGAAGTGGTTCACTTCCCAGATACCTTGTTGATGTCTTATGGATCTTCATTTGTCTGTCTTCCCTGTACATAATAGTTCACCAATCAATTTCTTCCCGTTTGCTTGTTTATCTCTTCCTGGATTGCATTTGTATTAGTAACTCAGATTTATTCCACAGATTCATTGTCATCCTAAGTTTTTTTTTTTTTTTGTGTATAAATCTAAGGTTTCGTTTATGTTCATTCCGGATAAGCTGTTCCTTATCCTGTTTGCTTGGACCCGAGGTTGTCGGGAGATAGAATGCAATGCAATGCAAAGCCAAAGGAAAGATTTGTCATTTACCTCTTCTCATATCCCCTTTTATGGGCATGTGTATGCAGCGTTGAATCTGTTTATAGATTTGATATGTTAACATGCACCATAGCTATTTTAAGCAGATGATATACATAATATCACTCTCTAGTTACATTCATCGTCATCAGGGGTCCGGTGAGTATACAGTTTCCATGACCCATCATCCATCTGAACCATCCCTTTGTTCTCAACACACCACCAGGAACCGGGGATTAAGTATTCATCGTCCAGAGCATCTAATCGCTTATTGACTGATGAAATATCCTTTTCAATCTCCAGCTTGAATCCTCCGAGGCTCCCTTGAGTCCCTGCCACCCCATGTAAGTAAATATCTATGTTATGGTAGTTCCTCAGGTTTAGACTCTGCTTCAGGTACTTTGATTTCAATGTGTTGATCGTGAGCACCTCCCCTGCATCGTCGTACCCAAGCAACGGGTAACGAGGCACGACATCAGGAACATTCGTTATTCTCAGGATGTTGAGGTTCTCGATGGAATCAACCAGCATTTTGAAGTTCTTGTCCCCAACACGAGGACTTGCAAATGCAAAGGCTGTGACATAAAAAGGCTTGTGCTGAAGACTTTTCATCTTTTTGTGTCCATTGTATGCAATATCTGTTGCACATAGAGTTGACATTGTTGCTCCCAAGCTGTGACCTGTTAATGTGATGCTAACTTCTTCATCCTTGTATTGTTCCAGTAACCTGTTTACCTCTCCCAGGACCTGGCATCAAGACCGAGAAAACAAATTAAAGCTATGGAAGGAAAGAGATAACTATTTGTTAACGGAGGCACAGGAGAAAAGTGGAGATGCTCACTTGTTCTCGAGCACTAGTCTTGTTGAAAGGCGAGCGGGGATCATCGGTGGTGTAGAGGGCGAGCCAGCCACTAGCGATCTGAGGTTTGTGACCGGTTTCGGCACCCGGGAAAAGCTCGGAAGCTGGATCAAGCGGGAAATCAAAATCATTGGCCCACTCGTAAGGCTGAATGGTCCCTCGCCATGCCACGACTATATCCCGTCTCCCCAGCTTCTCCTTGCCCTCGTCTGTAGCCACTGCGATATACCCCATCCAGTTAGACTCTTTACTCCACGCCTCCCTTGACAGCGACTTGACAATGAAAGAGCCAGGTAACTTTACCGAAGACGTAGCGTAGAAGAACTTGGTCACCTTGTACCTGGGCCATGATAGATCAGAGATTTTAACATCTGGAAGAGCAATGCTGATGAATGAAATAGGACCCTTTTGTAGCACCTGTAGGGATTGCCTTTGAGGAATCCTGTCCGGGCAAAGAGTTCTGTCTTGGAGAAGTAGCTGTCACCGGCATATTTGGATCTCCGGTCACTGTTGAAGGCATCGTAAGTAACCTCGGCCATCTCTCCGTAATGAACGATGTATCGGCGAAGGTCGTTGTCAAGTGGATCGAGAAGGCCTTTCCACTTGTGCTCTCCGCTTAGCTCCTTCCATCTCCTCGCTATGTCTCCCCTCATTTCCACTGCCTTTCCTTCTTCTTGGACAAGACCCGAGTTAAGAAAGTTGCCCTCGTCTTGTCATGTTTCAAAGATTATAGGGTCATGTAAAATAAGTGTTTGGTCCATGTTTCATGGTCTTCACATAAATCGTGCCTAAGCTAACTTTTTTTGTTGGCCAAGTTTTCGTCCAGTGTACGTAAATCCGTTGTTCTTTCGATTTGCGATTGGGATTGGATATTAATTAAACTGATTATAATGTTTTCATTCCAGGGTTTGGAGAGAGATTTTTACATGAAGACAAGAGGAGGTCTTGTCCGGATGGAAGACAGCACAAGAATGTGTAATCACACAGCAACAGCTGGTGTATATTGCTTGAAACTAGACGGAACAAGACATAATCTGAAACAAAGAAACTAAACCATAGCCAAGAATGGACAGTGTTCTTGTGAACAAATCGAATTCTGGAAATGGCATTACAAGAATATATATATATATATATATCAGAGGGCTAAAGAAGCATAGAGGAGGAGATTCCAAGTATCGGGTAAACCGGGGAGACACCAATGGCTGCAGTCTAGACCGTTGTGGAGGCCGTCGTAGGCGCTTGGATGCGCGTCCTTACGGTACAATGAGAGAACGGTCACGTCGAGGAGGCGGACCGGCTTCTTTACACGGCTCAATACTTTGTTAACCACTATCCATCCTAATGGTAACCCTCCTGGATACTTCATGCCCATGTAAGGCTGTGTCTGCCCTCTGCACGACTGTGACGGTTCACCCCATTCCCTCCCACTGGTCGGCCCATCGAAAGTATTTATTTATAATTTCAACATTATGTTGTGTGTAAGGAGAGAGATTATATATATATATATATATATATATTGAAGAGGATGTAAGTACATACTCGTAATGGACAGGTGAAACGCCTTGGAAGAACACTTTGGTCTTACTAGGGTCAACATTACGGTCAACCCATCTCGCCCAAGTGGTCAAGCCTTTGTAATATGCCACCAAACGGTTCATGTCTCTGTATAATGTGTTCCCTTCCCTCATATGATCCCATCTGCCACAAGGATTTATGTATACGTTTTGGATATACGAACTTTCTTATATTACTATTATTATTGTATACATGAGAAGAGGGTGATCGTACGGCTGGATTCCGGAGGTGTGGGTCCACCAGTGCCACGTGTTGAAGATCAGGACGTCCATTCCTCGCCAAGCGTCGCCTTGTTTGATGGAGTCCAACACCAGAACCCTTCCTCCTCCCTCTTGAACTACGTCTACCAGAAACTGTGTTCTGTATAGGTACATCTCCACCCCATATTCCTGCCATTTTTTTTATAATCATTCTCATATATATATATATATATATATATACACACACACTGTTTCAAAAAAATTATACTCTATTTATATAAAAATCCGTGATTTGATAATGGAATTCTAAAAACCAATCGTGACTGGTAGAAAGAAAATGAAATTGGCAACTAGCTTGCAATCAGACAAACAGAAGAAGGGACGCTTTCTTTTTACCCAATTAACGAACCAGAAAAGTCAGCTCCTCATTGGTAATGCATACTTATCATTAGTCTCTATCTAATTTCGATACCCCCAAAAAAAAAAAGTTATATATATATAAATATAATTGATGGCCCACTTAATCCCAGTGTGATTGGAAAACGACAATCAATAAGCAGACACTGACTAAATGGGTTGTTGGTTATCATTGTAATTCTGACATTGATCGAATGTGTCGTCGTGTTTGGCCCTCTTGAGAAGTTTCTCACAAACAAGCTAACTATGTATGACTGTGAGGTTTTTTTTTTTGGGTAACAGTGGCAACCCTCTACGGCCCTTCGGACCGGACACACGTTTAACTTCGCGAGTCGGACAATATCGCGGACAGTAAACTCATCGACCCCTGCACAGTAGCCGACAAATCATACGGAACAGATAAATCAAACGAAGCTTCCCGGTCTAAGAGGAAGCTCAGATCTCATAACTCACAACTTCGTATAGAAGAAACCTGTCACTTCCCAATTGTCACTTGGGTATCTCCTCAGTGGCTGTGAGTTCGATTTCATAATTTGATAAATTTCATTATAATTTTATAATTAATTCCGTCCTTTCATTTTCCTGTGTAATGAAATGTATCTCTCCAACTTGGAATGAAGATGTAAATAATCACCGTGCTATTATATATATATATATATATATACCAGTGGTCTTGAAAAAAACTAAATGAGGGTACTACTTTCTTAGGTTGTGGTCCATTTTATTTAATTATTATCGTTTGGATTTGCTCTAAATCATCTTCACCATAAATATTTCTAGAAAAGTCAGTGACATTGATATTAAATCATTAAGCATGTTGTGTGCATATTGATAATTCATTAGTACTTTTTGGCTACGTTATTCAAGAAGGCTATCATTTTCGGAAGATAAATGAATTAATGGAGACGTTATAGTAATCGTGGAGCTATCTATTCAAGATTAATTTGGCGTGGAATAAATATATTATTTTGCATGTCATGTAAGTATCATCATCATCATCATCATCATCATCATCATTATCTAACAATTCCCGCATACACCTAGGTATTTGACGTTTGCATGGGATTATAAACATCACCATGCATAACAACTATATATATATGTCTATATTCATATATTTTCATAACTATGCACGTTTATATATAGCTAGATAGAATATGCAGGGTGATATTTAAATAAAATAAAAAACGTATGTCTTTTGTAGGAAACTTTAAAATGGCCATATATATGTATATATAGGTCTCAAAAAGGTTAAATATAAGTTGAAGAATTTCATAATTATGTAAAGTAGGGTAATATTTTAGGTAACTTTAAATTAAAGTGTAAAGAGAGAGAGAGAGAGAGAGAGTACCAGGAAAGTGAGGGAAGTGAGGGGTTGGCTTCGGCGGAGAGAGTACTTTGCATTGGGAACCCAAGCGTGAATCATGCATGCCAACGATTCAAACATGTTCAGACTCAGTGAGTCACCCACGAACATTATCCTCTTCCCCCTCATTCTCCTCAGAAATATCATCCCATTGAACCTGTAATTCTCATCATCACCATCATGCATACATAGATATATATGTGCGTGTATGTGTGTGTGTATGCGTGTTACCTTGGAAGGTCGCAGGAGAAGGGCTGCCACCTGTACTTGAGATAGAGAGAATCCGGACGGCCGGATTTCTGACAGTCGAACTCAGGATCTATGAAGGGACATTTGTACGGACTGTACAAAGGGTACGATGAATCGTACACCCATTTGCCACGTGACCAATTGCATCTCCCTCCTCTCCCCGTTTTCATGTCTGACGCGTTGTGCCCTCCGTATTCACCCCTCAATACACTGCTCATGAACTCTGTATCAGCGTTGCCGCTGAATCCATGTGATTCCGCAGCTACTTTTGACGATGATAATGATGATGATGATGATGATGATGATGAGATTAGCATGAGAAACAGAGAGGGGAATAAGATTCTTTTTGGTGGGAAACAGAGTCCCATTTTGCTTCTTTGTTGGGTTTCTGGATCACAAAAGACTCGGAAACTTATCTTTGATTATATACATACGATGAACATATATATATATATATATATAGAGGGAGAGAGAGACTTTACCATTTTTTTTTTCATATTATATTTGTAAATACACTCGTGGAAAATTCATATTCTTCTCTTTGTCTTTTTTCATGTCATAAAATCTGCACCAATGAGGCTAAAACAGCTTAAAAAAGGTTAAACTCACAAAAACCATCACGTAAGTCCATGTGTTCAGATTACATATATCTAATGTGATTTTAATTGAAATATGTATGTGTTTATATATAAAAAAAATTATATGTAATATTTCGCTTGAGATTTTTCAATGGCTAGGGGGATCCCATAAAAAAAAGAAGCAAGGATTGTAGATGTCATTTGTAATTGAAGCATATAGCACTCATTATGGTTGAAATTGAAAAGTTAGGTTGTGTTGATTTTTTAAAGGAAAATAATTTATATATTTTTACTACATTTTTTTTTTCATAGCCATTGATTGGTTAAGATATGAATGATTTGTATAAGACATGAAAAAATAAATAAAGGGGATGATAGGGAGCAACTTGTACATGTGATGATGATGAGGTGTGGTCTGCTTTTTCCAACTAAACCACTAATCCTCTATACATCTTTTTGGTTAAAATAATTTAAATAACTTTACTAACACGTACCTACCAAATAAACACAATATATCTATATATATATCTCACAAATATAAAGGTTCGAGTTTATCTGATTTATGGAATTCTTAATATTTTCGATTGATTTAAAAATTAATCCCTCCGTCTCAACGTTTCAAAATATTTGTAGTTTTAGGTTATTTTATACGTTTCAAAATATTTGTAGTTTTACATTTTCAAAATATTTTTTATAATAATTTCAAATTTTACCCCTATCAAATTCCAATACATTATTAATAATTGCATTGTTTTTATCATCAAATAGGGGTATATGTGACTTTTGTTTCATTTTCTTAAAAAATGTGAAACAATCTAAAACAACAAATATTTTGAAATGGATGGAGTAACCATATTACATCGAATAAGGCAGTAACGAGTCGAATATCAATGCCTTTTTTTCCCAATAAAAGAAAAAGGCTATTTTAATGTATAACATGCACGTTTATAAATGATATTATGAAAAATAAATAAAAAAAAACTAATATGAATAATATGTTGAAAACTCTTTAGACTTGTCTTCTAATTCAAAGATCGAATGATTATATCTTCATAAGCACCCTATATATAAATATTAACAGCAATTATTCCTTCATCAACAAATTCAATAATTACTTTCAACTGCCCGTTTATCGATTGTTCTTCTCATAACCATTAAGAGAGCGAACAAATCTTAAACAGATATAAATAAAAACTAAATGTAATTCAGAATTAAAATCATATGGCATCGAAAAAATAAGTAGATTCTAAATTCAAAGGCAATAAAAAAAAAATTAGGTAATTATTGTTGTCTCTCTCTTGTTGCTCTGAATGGTTCGTGATCCGACTCAAGATTCATAACCAGAGTTCGAGAGCGAGCAGGCAGAGACATTGATCATATGAACCAAAGTGAGGTATTACAAAATACCTTTTAAAAAAAAAAAGTTTTTGTAAGTTGGAAATGTGAAAGATAAAATGAAATCCAAGAAAAATGATTACAGAACCAACTAGGGACAGGTCCATATCCAAACCCTCGTAACACATGAGCTGCAGTTTTTGTAACTAGGCATTTTGTCTGGAATCTAAATGGAAAGTTCAACTCCTGTCCCTTTCCAACTTGTTCTCATTTCATTTTGTACCCACATAACTTCTTCTCCTAAGCAGTGGAACTCGTGATCCGAATGAAATATCAGAAATGGTCTCTCAATATTGTATACAGAGCCCATATCGAATGAACTCGACTCATTACTTTGGAAACCCTTTAACATGTTCTTACCATATCCATACGTTATTTAGATTTACTTACAAGAATAAGTCATCTGCCAAGAGTTTTCACAGAAGCTCCCGATCGGATTGGCTGGTGCGTTGTACCGATGGCCGGTTATCTCCTCACCGAATCTCATACTTTTCCGGGGTGCGGTCACACTCTCGACAGATATCAGCATCTTCAATACACCATTGACCCGCAAAGTTGTTCGTATTCTTGTCCTCTGGCTGACCCCATCCTTGAATATACAGCATCTCGGATATTCTAATACAAGAAGAATGAGAAAAAAAATGAAAGAAAGAGAGAAACCTTGTAGGAATTGTTGTGTTTTGCCGTGTTTGCTGTCGAGTGGAACAACGCCAATGAACTTTGTCTCTGTCCAGAAGGATACAGCTTTCATCCAAGGGTCATTGGCTAAGTTGTTGCATGAGCTTTGTGTTCTGCTCCAACGAGCAGAATTCTGGCGTGTTATCAATAATTCCGTCTGTCTATACTAACTTGGGCCTCAACTCTTAGTAAAAATTCAAGACTCTTCTATGGGGACATATGTTCAAGGTTTTTTTTGGGTGCCCTTTTGCTTATTTGATCATATCTGGTCTTTCCTACATCAGGAAATGACAGATGGATCAGAGATTACCTGTTTCGGCGGCTTCACTCTCATTTGTCTTCCAATGCTTTGCAATGTTCTCAGACAACGGATCATCTGGGTTTGGGGCACTCAAAAGAGCCTGAATGCTGTTGGCATTAAAAAGAAAAACAATGGAGAGGTCAGATGCTGAGATGCATTAGGTAGCAAATTCTATTACCAGCATCATATCAGTGTCAATATGCATTCAAAGAAAGGCAGATATTTACAAATGACACCACTCCCGGACATTCATTGGCAGAATTTTCTTCCTATATGGGAGGAAGCACAGACATCACCCGAAAATACTTATGAAGCTATTTGTGAACGTTTCCTTCAATCATTCACACAGTTGCTTCTGTATGAATTTAAAGAGAGTAGAAAGTACCTCAGAGGCCGAAGAAAAGAACCCTTCCAAGGTGATACGATATCGGATTTCTGATCCTATGATCTCATCACAAGTATGAAACTACAACAAAATCTGAGTGCATGATACTCGAGTTACAGTAGGCATCAACAGGCAAAGGGATGTATGCACTATGCATCACCAAAACGCCTCAGATTAAGGCGTCATATAAGAGTCTCATACTCATATTTTACCTTTGGGGGGTGACACTGAGTACTCTTCAGGCAAGAACAGCTCAAGTTTGAATACACCAGCTTGAGGGAAAGAACAGTAATTACTACAATCAATACTAGAACAAGACATCGGACAAATTCATGATGAAACATTTACCTTCGAAAGGAGACAGAGCTGGACCAAGAATCATCACATTGAAGTACCTCATATTGTCTTCTGAAGGAGCTGTGACAAACACTGTCAGTACATCTTTGTGTCTCTTATGAGCCCAATTCCATTAGATTATCGAATTCTCACCATCCAACCCAACGTAGAAACCCAAGATTCTGTCTTTTTTTCCACCCCTATGAACTCAGCAGAAGAAGCTAAGACCACACGGACAACACAGCTCATATAGTTCAATGAAGACGGAGGGAGATCAACACCAAACAGTCGAAACCGAGGAACAAAACTACCAGACAGAACCCGGAAAGAATCCTAGGTCAATGGAGAAGCTTACCGACTCGACGATCCCAACTTGTCCATTGGAAGTAGTACAAAAGCAAGTGCTGAAAGATTGGAAGAAATGAAAAAGAAGTCAGCACCGGTTCGCTCAAAAGCCTCTGCGTTTCCTGATCAAAAAGAAGAACCCGCAAATAAAAAAAAAACCCAGAAATCGATTCGAATCGATCAATTAAACAAACCATGATCAGAGGATGAGAGAGATTAAGAGCGTGGGGTACTTGACCTTGATGATCCGTCGAGGCAGATTGGCGTCCGCCATTAACGAAGAAGAGAATTCACCTGCAGAGCGAGCGAGCGGAAAAAGATCACTTTGGTCTTGAAATTGAGATCTGTTTTATACGTGTGGGTATCTAACCTAATCAATGTTATATATAGTCAAATTTCATTTCTTTAAAATTCATCTTCCCTTTTTTACAGACATATCCTCTTTATTTTCTTTTCCGTTTAATTTCCGCATAAATTTTATTTTCATTAAAAAGGATAAATATGGAAATCTGCTTACGTTCTCTAATTCTGTATAATCATAACCAAACCCTACCATTATTTAAAAGCTCTCTGAATTAATTAACCATCGATTACTATTAACGTCGGTCTTATTAATTAAAGAAGCTCGAGTTCTCTCACTGGACAGTACCTTTCACGCGCCTCATCCGCGAGTGAAGTCTCCTTTGTCTTTTATCGGTTTCAGAAATTTGGAGAGCTCTCTCAGTGTGGGGGAGAGAAGGAGAGGGAGGAGCTGTAAAGCACATGGCCTCAATTCCGTTGGGGCCTCAACCCCAGCCTCTGGCTCCTCCGCCGCAGCCTCTCAACGGAGACGCTCCGAAGCGTCGCTCTGACATGGATTCCGACAAGGTTTCTTCTCCCTCTCCTGTTCCATCTCTCTTTGTGTATTTGACTCGCGCTTTGCGTCAAAGTTGCGGTATACAGTTCGTTTGAACTAGCGTTTGGTGGATGTTCTAGATCTCACCCGATCTAGATATCCTTTCGCCGTTTGAAGTCTAACTAGGATCGATCTGTGCTCTCGTGCTGTTTTTTCCTTGTCGGCCGCTCCTCCGGCGAGCCTCTCTGATGGGAGTGTCCCTCCTTGTTTTTTTTATTTCTTTGCTTGCAGTAGCTAACCCTATCGTATTTGTGTAACGTCGTCAACCTTCAGAATCTGATCTAATGACCGAGTGTTGTCTCAATTAGTATATGAGGCTTTGTTTCTCGAGTAAGATTTAGCTTTGAAGAAAGCTCTTGCTCCTTGGTGAAGTTACATTTCACGGAATTGATTCCACAGTGCAAACTATAGGAACTCGAAAACGGCAGGACAAAGTTTCAGATCTTTCTACTTTCTTTGTCCCCATTAAAAACTTTTGCCCTTGTTTTATCCAGAGATAAGTTCCTCAGTTGATTTCTTGTTTTTTTTTTCGGTTGTGATGTTTCAGCTGTTCATTTCAACCCTATATAAAGTACACACCATTTGTGTTGTAGATCTATGAAATACATCCTGCTAGGTTTTGGAGTACTTCGAGTAGTTATTGTTCTTTGGTTCATTCCATCTGTTCTCTCTGTGTTCCATTGCGTAGATTAACTGCCGACAATTGCGTTCCCTTTTTCTTTTGTTTTTGGTTTGTTCTGCACTCTAACATTTATTCCAAGATTTGTGTAGTGGCTGTTTGATGCTTTGTACGATTCTTATGCCGAACAAGTGTTGTTGACATCGAACCTTGTTATACTCTATAGTGTCCGTAACCATGTCTGAGCTTTCCTGTCACATGTTATAGATTATATATGGTTTATCTTTTGCAGGGTTTGGTCTTCTTTTTGCATCTCAGTTTTTCTAGCTTAGATATGTTTTAATTGATTCATGTTAAAACCATAAGATACGTTTGACTTACAGTGCAGTTTTAGATATTTGTGTTATCTGAACAGAAGTATAGTCTCTCATGCTGGTCTTCTAGAAGAGGGTTTCGGTTGTTTTTTTGAGTTGAAATGGGGGGAAACCGTAAAGTTTGCGAGCTCCCTTCTAGCATATTGTAGACAGGCGAAGTTTAATGTGTATAATAATACGTTCAAGTATAATTGCAGGAAATGTCTGCTGCTGTTATAGACGGAAATGATGCTGTTACTGGTCATATCATTTCCACTACCATCGGAGGCAAAAATGGTGAACCTAAGGGGGTTAGGATCTGAGTTCTTTATCACAGATTCGGTGTTTGTTTAGCCTTTTTTCTATCATCAAAATATTATTTAATGTTTAAGATTTCCATATTTAGTACCGTGTAAATGGGTTACTATACTGAAATGGTAGTTCATTTTCTTTTCTTGTACGTGAAGCACCAACTGTTTAAACAAGTATTACACCACAAATATAAAATAAATGCGTGTATCTGAACTTCTTTACATCTCTCTCTCACTCTAACTTTTTTAGTTTCTTACACTTTTATCCGTGTAACCTATTACAGACAATTAGTTACATGGCTGAACGTGTTGTCGGTACTGGATCATTTGGAATTGTTTTCCAGGTAGTTAATCATGTGCTTCTTTCTACTAGCATCTGTGCTTCTTTCTACTAGCATCTGCAACCATGGATTATCTCTATATTCGTTTAAATCATGAGATTACTCTTTCAGGCAAAATGCTTGGAAACCGGAGAATCAGTCGCCATTAAGAAGGTCTTGCAAGACCGGCGCTATAAAAACCGTGAGTTGCAGTTAATGCGGTTAATGGATCACCCAAATGTGGTCTCACTGAGGCATTGTTTCTTCTCTACTACGAGTAGAGATGAACTTTTCCTCAATCTTGTTATGGAGTATGTTCCTGAGACTCTGTACCGGGTTCTGAGGCACTATACTAGTTCAAATCAGAGAATGCCCATTTTCTATGTCAAACTTTACACATACCAGGTACGGAAGGTTATTTATGGTATTCTTTGTAAATACTCCTGCGCTTTCATGTCAGTCCTGATAATATTTAGATGTGCGTTGCAGATCTTCAGAGGTTTGGCCTATATCCATACTGTTCCTGGTGTTTGTCACAGAGATGTGAAACCACAAAATCTTCTGGTACTTTATTATATCTTGGTGCATCTTTGTTAACCTGGACTCGTTCTGAAATCTAATTTTCAGATGCATTCTGTAGGTTGATCCACGTACCCACCAGGCTAAGCTATGCGATTTTGGGAGTGCAAAAGTTTTGGTAAGGGGGCCATCTTTCTTGATACCATTTCGTTGTACATGCTTGCAACTTTTTTTTCCGTTTGGCATGCATAGTATATGCAATGCATGCGATAGTTTGAGCTGTCCTTCTCTTTCACCTGCTAAGTATTGACCTTAGGTCAACACGCTTGCTCACATTGAAGATAACTTATATTCTTATTAGTGTTCCATTGTTGACATTAGGTCAAAGGTGAAGCAAACATATCATATATCTGCTCCCGGTATTATCGAGCTCCAGAACTCATCTTTGGGGCCACAGAGTACACATCATCCATAGATATGTGGTCTGCTGGTTGTGTTTTGGCAGAACTTCTTCTTGGCCAGGTTTGTTTGGATAGTTTGTTCTGCTGTAATGATGTGAAATTGAAAATTACTGTTTTCTCTCCAAATCATTATATTATCTCTCTGTGCAGCCATTGTTTCCTGGAGAAAATTCAGTGGACCAGCTCGTAGAGATAATAAAGGTGATGCATCCTTCACAATATTTTAGGGAGGGCTCATTTTTCTGTCTGGTATATCAGGTTTCAATCGTCTGAGGAGACTTATCTGCTATACATGCCTTGTTTTAGGTTCTTGGTACTCCTACCCGTGAAGAAATTCGATGCATGAACCCAAACTACACAGATTTTAGGTTCCCACAAATTAAGGCTCACCCATGGCATAAGGTACATCTCAGTTTCTTTTTTCTTCCTCTCAGTTCAAGTTCAAGCATAATTTGTTACATAAAGTACTCATTTACGTTCATTACTCTTCACATGTGACTTCTGGCTTAAATCCAAACATATGCTCGATACTTCAGGTTTTCCATAAAAGAATGCCCCCGGAAGCAATAGATCTCACATCTCGGCTTCTTCAATATTCACCTAGTCTACGATGCACTGCGGTCAGTATTTCCTGAACCAGACCAACAATAAATCTCGTGATATTTCCAGCCCCCGAGTGGCCAAATTCAATAGAGAGAGAGAGAGAGAGAGAGCGCGCGCACACACACACACACACACACACACACACTCTCTCTCTCTCTCTATTACTGAAGAGAGTTACAGTTTGAGGTGAGGCTGAATAAATTAATTTTCTGTTACCATGTGTGAAGCTTGAAGCATGTGCTCATCCTTTCTTCAACGAGCTCCGGGAGCCAAATGCCCGTCTTCCAAACGGTTGTCCATTGCCTCCATTGTTCAATTTCAAACAGGAGGTAAATAAACTACATTCTGATCTTTTTTGGTAAAAAAACCACTCATATATAGCTTATTATTTTCGTGGCATATTGCAAAGCCATGAATAGGTCTTACTGGTTGCGTTACGAGGCTAAGACAAAAATGTTGTCTTTTAACTGAACGTACAAAACACTAGCAGTTGGCAGGAGCTTCACCGGAGCTGATAAGCAGGCTAATACCAGAGCACGTGCGGCGGCAAATGACTGGCGCCTTCCCATTTCAGACAGGTCCTTAGGAAGGCGAGAACAGAAGGATTGAAGAGACAGATCTAATCAAAGGCTTACCTGAAAGACGAGAGAGAGAGAGAGAGGATTGACTTTGCTCTCTAATGGATAAAATCAGTATATGACTAAAAAAATCAATCAATGAGGTCATGAGAGTTGTTGTTGGCTGCTTCCGTGGGAGTGACTGAGACGCCGTTCAGCTTGAGAATGGAAGAGTTTGATGATTTGTGTCTTATTATTTTACCTTTTCTTTATATATATATATATATATATATATATGTATTTTTGTATATGTTCTGTTTTTTTCCTGGTCGGTAGCAGTTGTAAGGGATCACTCTTCTTCAGACAGACAGACAGAGAGACAAACGGCTGCAATATCCGCCGATGTGGTAACCAGTGATTCAAATTTGGGTTGAGTACAAATATGGTATTCGATTCCAATTTTTTTCGGATTTTGAATCCGTCGTTGTATCTTAGGTCAGCGATGTTGGTGGATGATTAGGTCAGCGAATTGTGAGAAAAGAGGGTGAGGGGTGAATCTAACCCTAATCTTAGACGAATCCAATTCCAGGTGAGTGCAGACATCGATTTTTCCAACCAACAACGGAATCTGAATGCGACAATCGAGTTTTTGCTGCCGTGAAATCTGTATTCATCTCACATCAATATCCGGAAAACGAATATCCAATTCGCAATCGCGGATTAGGCCGGAGATGCACAATTTTCGCGTACATTTCGGCAGCATTTACTCGAACGAGTAAAATCAATGAACCAAAGCTCGTGATGCAAGAGCAAGCTATTTGGTCATTTGAAAAAAAAAAAAAACAACAACAGCGGCTCCAATCTGACAGAGACCAAACTTTTAAACTCGAGAGTTTTAGATCAATCATCGTCTTTGTGGAGATAGTTTTACTTCTGTCTTATTACAATGAGAATGTCAAATACCAAACAGGCTGCAACTTCCTCCCCCCAAAGCCCTTACAGGCACAAGAAACATCATCAACCGTGAATCAAATTGCACAAACCGTATCATCTTTAACTCGAACAGCAACCGATTCTTTTCAGCAGAGACCCTTCTTCTTTGATGTTTATGGTCTCTCCTTTAGCTGGCAAACCTGACGAAACCCCTTCCGCGTTCCCGCCTTCCACGCTCTTCTTGCTCACTATCTTGTGGATCTGAGTAAGGACCTCGTTGAAGGCGTTTTCGACGTTTGTAGCGTCCAGAGCTGACGTCTCCATGAAGTAGAGGGATTCTGCCTCGGCGAATGCTTTCCCGTCTTCCGGTTTGACGGCCACGAGGTGACGGAGATCGCACTTGTTGCCAATGAGCATAACCACCATGTTTGGATCGGTATGGTCCCTTAGTTCCCTCAGCCATCTGGCAACGTTCTCGAACGTCGCATGCCTTGTCACGTCGTATACAAGCAGTGCCCCCACCGCTCCTCTGTAGTAAGCGCTGGTTATTGCTCGGTATCTGTCAAAAGGGTATCAGAGATGATGTTCTTCTATTCATCATATATCTAAATTATCAGGATGCTTATGATCAAGACAAGGAATCTTGTTTGTCTCTTACGTCTTAAAACGATCATCTAGAAGAGAGAAATCTTGTTAGGATGTCGGAAACAAACCAATATCCTACATTCTTCTACTCACTCAAAATGCAGGCTATGTTACCTTCTACCTTTACACCAAATCTCTGAGATGATAGTATGAGCTGCTGATCAAACGGAGAATATACATAAGAAATGCTTCCTACAAGGATGGATCATTAAAGATCTTGTCGATGAAGAATATCCAACTTTTGCAAAGGCGGAAATGTATATAACCATTGCTTAAGAGATTGGAAACCAAAGGATGGATCTTTATAGGATCACTGATTCACCTGTGAAGATCGTTATTAGCAGTCCCAGATGCTTAGGCACTTAGACACCAATTGGGTTCAACTCTTTTAACATTTTTCAAGTCGACTGGCACTCATTATACACAGAGATTCAAACACATACACAACAAGATTTATAAACAGTTACAGTCACTAAGGAAGAAATTAACAAGAAATGGGCTGAAATATGAGACTCATCACAATGACTATAGAACAGTTTCCAACTTGAGATCTAACGGACTTAGACTTACCCTGTCTTGCAAATTATAATCCTTTCAGAAGATAATCACTGAAAGACTGAAACTCATATCCAAAGAACCATCACATGCTATACAACTCCATGAGATTCAGATACATAATCAAACACCAATATCTCAAAACCCCACCAGATTGCACAAGCAGAGCAAAAGAAACAAGAAGAAAACAAGAACTCCACCTAACAAAAAAACCCACCAGAGCCATGATTATGAAAACCCTGTTGGATGCAACACAACAGTACCATAACAATCACAGCCCATATGATTTCAGCAAAGTAGAACAAAACCCATAATTCCGGAAGAAAATCATGAGAAATTATCATACCTCTCTTGACCAGCAGTGTCCCAAATCTGAGCTTTGATGACTTTACCATCGATTCTAAGCGTTTTGGTCGCAAACTCAACGCCAATAGTTGACTTGGATTCGAGATTGAACTCGTTCCTCGTAAACCTAGACAGCAAGTTCGATTTCCCGACACCTGAGTCGCCGATCAACACAAGCTTGAAGAGGTAGTCGTAATCATCATCGGGTTTGTACCCAGCCATGATACGATCCTACTTTACCTCACTTTTTTTTTCCCCTGGTTGAACCCACAAAAAAAGACCCTCAGAATACAGCTTTTTCCACCGAAATTCTGGGTTTTGGAAATCAAGCTGTGATCCTCGTTAAGGAAAATCGAAACCCTTTTTCTATTTCTCACAAAAAATAAAAAGATTTGGACGATGTCGATGAAAATTTTGGAACCCGTTTGTTTGGGCTTTAGATTGAAGAGGAAAGAAGGATTCTCGATTTGTTAGCAAAACATTTTAAGCACCCGATTAAAGAAAAGCCAATCGTTGCTTTGCAAATATGCTTTTAGTGAATCTCCAGAGATTTTCTGAATCAGATATGATCGGATGTGTTCTGTAATGAAAAAAAATCATTTTCTTTTTACCCACAAAAAATAGTGGAGTTAATAAAGAGAAATAATTGGATTTAGCAGAAATGATTATTTTTTTTGGTGACGACAACAATAATTTAATTTTAAAATTATCAAAATGCAAGTGTCAAAAGAAAAAAAAACAGATATCAAAATAATCTGAAATTAAAATGGATGTAATAGAGATTATTTTATATTATCCGTCATTATTCTATGTGCCCATAAATATCCGATTTGAAACAAAATACAAATCATAAATAAATGTGGAGATCAAAAATTGTACTTTAAAAGTAATTTTGCACATTTAAAGATATATACATAAATACTGACTTTGAAATTCAATTAAAGAGGAAATCTGTAATCCTATCTCCCAAAATCCAGGAGAAATATTTTCAGATGGGATTTTGGTTTTATCTGATCAATTACAGATTATCAAAATTATTTTCTTCCCAAATTAGCAAAGTCAGCTGTAGGAAATATAGCTATTCATATATATATATAACCATATATATAATATATATCACTCTCTGTAGACCAACTTGCCTGTTAAGAACGACCCCTGTTTGGACACGTGTCACCTAGTATAAGTGGACCCGCACACGGTAGCACGCGTCCTCACGTTGTGTTTTATGCTTTATGTGAAATCCACCACGCTCTATCCAAGGCGCGTGATTCTTACTCTCCCTTCTTGCCAGCTGCCATTAGTCCGTCCGGCTACGAAGCCTTATCCAAAAATTTCTAAAGAGCCGACGTGTCTGTCACCTTTGCTATCTCACCGACGAATCTATTGGCTGTCAAGTACAGAATACGTCCCCTAGAGCCTGAATCCGACTCCGTCCGTCACTGTTGTCTTAAAACAATCTCGGTGACTGAACCCTCTGATTCAGCCAGTAAATCACGAATCGTTTTCCAAATATTTAATAGAATGGAAAAAAAATTATATTCCCTTCGATATTCAATCCATGACCTTCCAATCTCCGTAGCAATAAGCGTATGATTGCAGATTCGCTACCGATAAATTTCGATAAATACCCTTATATTATCGGTGTCATAACACTTTTTTCCTTTACTAAACAAATGACTTGAAAAACCCATAGATTATAACAAGGGTCGAGGGCACCGATATGTTATTTTGTTTCGTCGGTAATCAATCCGAGTTTTAAATCTCAAAAATCTTGTAACTATAATAATACCAATATATAATCGTATAAAATGTATAAATAACAAGAACGAATTGGGTCATTTTTTTCGTAATTGAAAATGATAATTGACGTTATAAACTTTTCTGATCTTAATTAAACAGGCAACGGTCACTATAATTTTTTTACGAATTTAATTTATTTATGAGAAAGGCCCAACGTCACAATAGTTATTTCAGTAAATTGGGTTATTTCAGCGTCATTTACAGAATATAGGGGCTTTTTTGATATTTTTGTTAAATGTACGTATGGCTGGAAACCGAGATTTTTTTTTTCTGTGCGTTTTCCATGTAAACCCTAGATTAATTTTTCGCATTCATTTTTGTGTGGAAAAAGATCGGATTCCTCTTTTGCTAAGAAGTGAAAAGGTGGATCTCGATTCCTCGAAACTCCTTGAAGTATGCGTTGGAATTTGCTCATTTTCGTTGTCCTTTTTCATGTTTGCTGAATTGTGTGGATCGAATCGCTCCGATTCAGATTTTGGAACCTGAAATCCGATTCTTTATCTTCTATCAATTGTTTTTTTTTTGTTCCAATCTCATGGATCTTGGTTTTCGATGATATGTTTTGTCATTCGTTGGATGCATTTCGTTGAAAGTTGAGTTTTTTAGCCGTGGTAGACGAAGATTAGTAAATATTGTGAGTTGCTGCCAGATTTTGATTATATGGGTACTGTATTAATTATCCTCGGCTTGCTTTTTTTTTTTTTTATAAATATATCACTGGAAGTACTGATTTTCCTTCTTCGTCTTTTTCTGTAGTTTTACTGAGTTGTTCGTGGAGATTATTCTTTGTGTCTCTCATTCCTGCATTTGGGTTTTCTGTCGCGGGTTGGTTGGTGCAGATTTGTTGAAGTGATTCATTTTTCCACGAGTTTGGCTGATTGGCTGGTGCAGATTTGTTGAAGTGATTCATTTGTCTAAGAGATTTTGGAATTCTTTCGTCTCTAGCTACTTTAGAAGATGATTTCTAGGTCGTACACCAATTTGTTAGACTTGGCCTCAGGGAACTTCCCTGTCATGGGAAGAGAAAGGAGGCGACTTCCAAGGGTAATGACAGTGCCCGGTAATGTGTCTGAGTTTGATGAAGATCAGGCCTACAGCGTTTCATCTGATAATCCATCCTCGATTTCCACGGACCGAATGATCATTGTGGCTAATCGGCTTCCCTTGAAAGCAGAGAGACGTAATGGAAGCTGGAATTTCAGTTGGAACCAGGATTCATTGTATTTACAGCTTAAGGATGGTCTGCCAGAGGATATGGAAGTATTATATGTAGGGTCCTTGGATGTTGATGTGGATCCATACGAGCAAGATGATGTTGCACAGATACTGTTGGATGGATTTAAGTGTGTTCCAACCTTTCTCCCACCTGATTTGCAATCAAAGTTTTACGATGGTTTCTGCAAGAGGCAGCTATGGCCACTCTTCCATTACATGCTGCCCTTTTCAGCAGATCATGGAGGCAGATTCGAAAGGTCTCTTTGGGAGGCTTATGTTGCCGCGAATAAATTGTTCTTCCAGAAAGTAATTGAGGTTATAAACCCAGATGATGACTATGTCTGGGTACATGACTACCATTTGATGGTCCTACCAACGTTTTTGAGAAGACGATTTAATCGAATAAGGATGGGTTTTTTCCTCCACAGCCCATTCCCCTCGTCTGAGATATACAGGAGTCTTCCTGTACGCGAAGAGATACTCAAGGCTTTGCTCAATAGTGACCTCATTGGTTTCCACACGTTTGATTATGCTCGTCATTTCCTTGCTTGTTGCAGTCGGATGTTTGGTCTGGAATATCAATCTAGGAGAGGCTATATAGGGCTTGAATACTTTGGAAGAACTGTAGGGATCAAGATCATGCCTGTTGGAATCAATATGTCTCGTATACAATCGGTTATGAGGCTTTCAGAAGATGAGGGTAGGGTGAGAGAGCTCAAAAAGCGTTTTGAAGGTAGGACACTTTTGCTAGGTATTGATGATATGGACATTTTCAAGGGTATTAATTTGAAGCTTCTAGCGATGGAACAGATGCTTAAGCTGCATTCAAAATGGAGGGGGAAGGCTGTCCTGGTCCAGATCGTAAATCCTGCTTGGGGTAATGGAATCAATATGGCGGAAACATGTGCTGAAATACAAGAAAGTTGCAGGAGGATCAACGAAGAATTTGGGGAACCCGGATATCAACCCATCGTATATATTGATACCCCTGTTCCAATTAGTGAAAAGGTTGCTTATTACAATATTGCTGAGTGTGTAGTTGTCACGGCCGTTAGGGATGGTATGAACCTTACTCCTTATGAATATATTGTCTGTAGACACGGCTTGCTTGGCTCAGAATCAGATTTATGTGGACCAAAGAAAAGTATGCTGGTTGCATCAGAGTTTATTGGGTGTTCCCCTTCGCTTAGTGGGGCTCTACGTGTAAATCCATGGAATGTTGAAGCCACTGCAGAGGCATTAAATGAAGCCATCTCAATGGGTGATCCCGAGAAACAGATGCGTCATGAAAAACATTTCCGATATGTTAGTACACATGATGTAGGTTATTGGTCCCGAAGTTTCTTGCAAGACTTGGAGAGGATATGTGCAGATCATTTCAAGAAACGGTGTTGGGGCATGGGCATTAGCTTTGGTTTCAGAGTGGTGGCTCTGGATCCCAATTTCAGAAAGCTTTCGATACCTTGCATTGTGTCAGATTACAAAAGGGCAAAAAGTAGGGCTATATTGTTGGATTATGATGGCACTCTGATGCCGCAAAACTCCATCAATAAGGCCCCCAGCGGGGAAGTTATAAACATATTGAATGCACTTTGTTCAGACCCAAAGAACACCATCTTCATTGTCAGTGGAAGAGGGAGGGACAGCTTGGACAAGTGGTTTTCTCCATGCAAAAACCTTGGAATTGCAGCTGAGCATGGATACTTCTTGAGGTATCTTCTCCAAGTTTCTCCATACTTAATTAGTCTAATGTGTAAAAAATTTCCTTTTTGGAGCCTGTTGCTCTATTCAGATCCATTCCCCTTGCGCCATTGCAATATTCTCTCTTTTCGATAATAACATGGTCAATGTCTTTATGCTCAGGTGGTCCCAAAATGGAGAATGGGAAACATGTGGTCAGAGTACTGACTTTGGCTGGATGCAGATTGTGGAACCCGTAATGAACCAGTACACTGAGTCTACCGATGGTTCAGC